TGCAGCTTTTTTGGAATATCTTTGACTTTTTTACAGAAGAATTAACTGAACTGTTGCAAAAATATCAGCTAATGTAATTCACAGGTAACGCTTTATTACTTATTAAAATTTAATCTTATTATTGAGTCTGTGTCTTAACACCATATTAGTTTGACCAGAATTCTGACCACCTGCATATCTTTCTAACTTTCGTAGCTGCATATATTTTTTAGACTAGAATATAATACTAAATTACAATGTGATAAGTAAAACTACATCTTCAGTTACTTCCTACAAATTTATTAGCAATCATTTTTAGGAAGGAAGAAGGTTTAGTTGGGTCGATATTAATAGTAATATAGAAAAATTGTTTATTTCTGTCATAAATATGCTTTCTGTTGTATGTAATATGGTCCTAATATTCTATAATTCAGTTTTCTAATACATGGAGAAGAAAGAAGTATTTTGTGTTTTTTCAGTGTGCGTTTCAGAATAGAAGTAAAACTACAGTAAAGTACTCGATTAATTCTAAAAGAAACCTAAGAATTTTGCAAAGGAATCCAAAATTTGTTTTATAACTTGAAGATTAGATATAAACATAGACAAGAATGGTCAATATCAAGTAATGAGAAACTTAAAAATAATAGATATATAAACTTATCAGCATTCCTGATAGAAGATACCAAATTATTGCAAATTTTTTGCGAGATCTCCAATTGTAAATAAGAAATGGCTTACAAAAGGAAGATTTCTGATGCTATTTAATATTTCTTGGATAAAGTTATCAGGGATGTTGATATTAACATCAAAGCACCTTTCTTCTGAATTAAAACATATACAGAACTTCAGGTTCAAATGCATTATATTAAACAAATGTTAAAAGTTATAAGCCTTACAAAACCTCAAATAAAATGTACCTAGAAATTAGGGTAGGTGAATAATATACTTTAATTAAAAGCAGCCTTGGGATATGTGGCTTCATAAGAGACTTTAAAAGTGAAAGTGGTCTCTATATCTGAAGAAAATCTCCTACAGAAATAAACAAGTAAAGCTATTATTATCATTCACTAATTTACTCCTTGTAACATTAGGAATGACTTCAGAAAATTTGCATTTGGAAAATGAACAAATATGTTAAAATCATAAACTTGCGGTGTTAGTACACAGTAGTGATATAACATCTCACTGCAGACTTGAATCAATCTGTAATTTTCCCTGGGATGAAAGTTTCATTATAAAAGCATTTGAAGACATAAGTACAGTAAAAGTTTCCATACAGTAAAAAACGGTTTTTTAAAATTGCTATACTATGAAGGTGGCAAGCGAAAAATGTTTTGCATGAAAGGTATTACATGCTGGGATATGCAAATGATTAGCATTCCAGCACATACGCACAAAGTAGGCATGATGGCATGTTGGTTGTTTGTGTGTTATGCCTTGTGTAAGAAGGCAAATCTCTTACAAGCATGTGTCAGAATTTGACCACAGCAAGACTGCTATTCATATTGGTCCAAAATCATTGCCAGCTTGCCGATATTTCAGCAAATTACCGAGATACCCATTTACTCAATGTTAAATGGGCTTGCCCCTGTATTCTTTTCTGTCATAGATTCCCTCTCTAGATTTTTCATGTTACATTACACAGAAAAATACAACAATTTCACATATAATTGCACTAAAATCATCTATCTATGTACAAAATTCGTAACAGTATGATGACATCTGCAGCACCACAGACTGTCAGCATGGTAGCCATTGTTACTGCAGTGGTGCACCTACATCACAGTGGTCATCATCATTATATAGGTCCAGCACCTGGTTTGCTGGTATAGGATGCTTTTGGGTAAATATCCTTGTATCCTCTTGCTCACATAGCTGATATTTTGGACAGCAACCATTACATTTCTGATATATTAAGGCCTGTGGCTGTATCTTATCTTTGAGGCCTGCTTGACACCATCTTTCAACAAGAAAATGCATGACTGTATGTTGCCTGTGCTGTCCTGTTCTTCAATAAAGAGGGTGTTTGACTTGTCCTAGCCAGCATGTTCTCCGGATCTCCTACCAAATGAGAACATTTGGTCGTGGGTTGTCATGAAATTAGCACACTACGACTCATCATCTAGCATAACTGATAAACTCTGACACAGAGTTGATGCCACATGCAATGGAATACCCTTATCTGTCATTCAAGATCAGGTCACCTCAATGCCCAAATGGATTACAGCCATTGTTGCCGCCAGCAAATGCAGCTCTGTGACTAAATTCTGCACACTATGTACCCCAAATAACTTGTAAATTTAATTATGTCTTCTTCCCTTATAATGTGTACATAAATAATATATACATGCACAATAAATGAGATCCTGCTACTTACTTTCCTTCCCAATGTAGCAATTGAAAAAATAGATTATATTGATATACTTGAGTAAGTCTGATTTTTTTGATTAATGCTTTCATAAAAATGAATACAGAAATAAGCTTTTGTATTATAATCAATCATGAAATATGTTATTGATTCTGGCTTGCTTGGAATATTCGTAATGCTGTTCGAAAACAAAATTAAACATCCGAAGTGCTTTGAAGGTCATCAACCTCATTAGTGAAATAAGAAATACTAAATAGTATTTTGTGCTCTTTTGCGTGTTTAGTAATTTATTCGGCAAATTCCTCATGTTTAAAGAATGCAGTATTATCAAAAGGCATGAAATGTAAAAATATTGCATTTAAAAGTTAATTGTATTATGATTTATTGATGGTAATATTTTTGCTTTAATCATTTTAAGATCAATGTTAATAATTCAAAAATATTATGATTTATTTAAAATGTAGTTTTGTATTTCTGAATTGGGAAAACGAAATTATTGAATTTGGTAAAAATTAGGAATATTTTACTTAGGAAAGGTTTCTAATATGAAAAATATTTTTGTACTATTGTTTAAATTTTTTTGAATTTATATTTTTTAATTTTTACTGTATGTTAAGAATGAAATTATTGTTTGAATGTTTTGAGTCGCAGGAATTTCTTTAATGTTTTTATGATAAACAGTGAAGGCTCTCACCTTATGAAAAAATACATTTTTTTAAATCTAAGTATTTTTATTTTTTCATAAAATGGAGTGTGTTTTTAATATTCATATGGAATGACAGCAGTTCGAAAAAGGCCAGTTGCCTCTACAGAAGGAACAGAGGCCTTTTCTACAGTAACTGCTAATTTGGCAAATCTTTTGGCCACTGGTGAAGAATATTAAATACCAGTTTGCTCAACTGATAAACCAATATGATGGAAATGCTAGTATTTAGATAAAGTTGTGGAGTCTTCAAGTTTACTAAAGAATAAGTAAATTTTAAATGTCTTAATAATAGTGAAAAATTTGAAATTGTGTTTATGAATGATGTGTTATAAAATTTTTATATTTTAAAATATCTTCCCTAAAAAACATAATTAAATAACATGAAAGTTGGCATCTTAATTTGTATTATAATAGAAATATTTTCATCAACAAAAATTGGAAACACTTTTATTTGACATTTAGTTTTGTGAAAAAATTTGAACTTTTACCATGTGGAACTATCAAGAACTTTACAAAATTTCATTGGACATTCTTATCACAGAACACTAAAATGTGCAATTGTTTTAAAAGAGTACAGTGTCTAAAATTATTATTGAATTCTAAATTTTATGACATTCAGTGAAATGTCAAAATTCATTCAAAATATCAGTCAAAATTTTATGACAATAATTTTTTGGTTAAAAGTTAATATGTTTGTATTTTCAAAATTATATCTTTCACATTTTGCTGCTCTAATGCTTGTTCTGCCACCCTGCTCACCCAACTTTTCTTTTGAAGGGGGATATGTAAGATATAACAAAATATGATAAGCTGTTTCAAAAATAATAATAATAATAATAATAATTGATGACTCAAAATTAACATTCTAATTTTGTAATCTGCCCTAAATCATCTCTTCTCACAGGTTCCAGACTTTTTATCTTATGTAACGTTTAATGCAGATGCCTCTTGTCCAATCAAATTAATTGTAAACCAAACTGAACTGAAACTTTTCTGCTTCCCAACCTTCTTCCTATGAAGTGCAATGACACTCTCCCTTTTTTCGCATAAGCTCACTTGCTGCTAAGACGCTTTTTATCCATGCTGCTGCTTACTTGCTTAAGATGACGTCGTATTTCAAATTGGAACTTACTGTATTCAAATACAATTAGGAAACATCTTATCTGCAAAAGGATGGTTTGATATACATGGAAAATAATAAAGATAGTGATTTTTCAAGATATGTTGCGCTAAATTGCATCATCATGCTTTCTACTCTGCCACCTTCAAACCACAGTTTCATTACAATAATATGGCGCAGCCGATTTTCGACCCTACAGGCGTGGAACTTCAGTGCAGTTTATTTCAACTAATCTCACATCGTTTACCGAATGGATAAAATAAAAAAGGTAACTATTCATCTGACTTCCCAATAAAGCCACTACGGTCTTCTCGGTCATCTACGCAGTATCGTAAGCTGTTGGGAGGTTCACTGCTTTCATCTACGCATTTGAAATCATTACATATATATATTGTAAAATGATATTTTTTAATCCAGATCCAGACAGAGTAAAAACATTACTTTAAAAAAATCCATAATCTAAGATTAGTTTTCATGTTTTTGTACATTTTGGGAGAGAGCAATGAAAAAAAATCATTAAATATGTGTTGGAACTATATATATTATTTACAAAAATTATAAATATTTTCCATCAAATGGTGTGCTATGTATTTTGTGATTTTTTAGAGTACACGTGAAAAATTAATAGTACAATTTCCTGCTGAGCAGATTAATAGTTACTGTGGATTTTTATATAATTCATTTCACTCAGGCAAATTTTATACAAAATAAATTAGAAAATTAATGTTTGAAATTGAAAAACAGCATATACCTTCATATCTAAAACTTTTTGGAATTCTGTAATATCAGATTCGGGAAGAAGTTTCATATAATTTTCCACAAAGCTCTCAGCATTTTCATGTGGTGCCATTACAACCTTTAAAAAAAATATATTTATGTGAAAAATAAAATTAAAAAAGCCAGTTTTAAAAGTTAAATAATTCAATGAAAACTTCAGTATTAAACTAGGAGATACAAATTAATTTTTTAAAGCATAAGACTTACCTTAAGAATCATTTCTGCTTTGGTCATACCCTTGACAACAATTTTTGTATATCTGAAAGTGGATTTACATTCGTAACACAGAACGTTTTAACAAACATTTTTGAAAACTAAATCAAACATACACAGTAATTATTAAAAAAAAAAAAAAAATTACCCACATGGGAGGTGGTTTTCTCATTGAAACAGATCCAAGTGAAGGCAAATCAAGTAAGACAGTTTTCAGCATATGTGTGTCCAACAGAAGCTACAGTATAAAGAGGGGAGGAAAGCATAATAAAAATTATGATAATTAAATATTAGCATGACCAATAAAATAGTTTTTTATGTCATGTTTATTAATTAAAGAAATCTTTCACTAATTTTTATTATTCGATAAACACCTGAAAGTAAAATACAAAACATTTTGCTGTAATGCCAGTAAATTTTTATGTTAAAAATTGTGCATGGAATTATATATCATAGACTAATATTGAAAAAAATGTTAACCATAACCCCCTCAGCATTATAGATGTAAAATTCTATACAGAAAGCATGGTTTCGAATTCATTACAGATGAAAATTTCTGCCAGCTTTTGATGTATCTGATTTTGGTTTGGATGTATGTTGGAAGAGAAGGAATCAAGGTACAAAGTGAGGGAGTCATTTTTTAATTATAATGGGGGGAAAAGTTTATTCATGACATTTTGAGGAACTTTGAAATTTCAAGGCTAAACCTGTAATGCTCGGAGGATTAAATATGTTTCAACGGTAAGTACAAACATGAGGATTATTAACTTTAATTGTAGCAAAATATTATGCTTTCTGTCATGGAATGCATAATTATAAGTAATATTATGGAATTTATTAATATATTTATATTTCCTTAATTATTTATTATTATTATCAGTATTTATATTTCCTTAATTACCAGCAAGAATGCTTTTTGATTGGGTGAATTGAAGACATAATAAAGCATAGATCTCTCTCACAATCATTGTATAAAATTCTGATACACTGATACCTTACCTATGATATAGGGAAAAAATATTAAAGTATTAATTATAATTCTAACCAAAAATCCTCACTTTTTAAAAAATTTTGGTTTAATCATTATATTTTTAGGGATAAAGAATATCGAAGGAAGTTGAATATATTTTTGATTCCTTAGTGAAAACAATCTGCACATAATTTTGGAAGTAAAACCTTTCATAGTTCTACTTTATTTTTTAAATAAACAAACAATTAAATGTCATCTATAAATATATTGCTAAAATACAGTTTTGGATTTAAATTATTTTTTATTTTGTTATAAAGTGTTGCTATTTTAAAAATGCAAAATAGTCAGGTGAATTTGATATGACTTTGAAACAGGATATTTGTTTTGAAATTAAATTCCAGTAAGAAAACTGAAATAAGATCACTGGCGGCTACACTTCAAACAGTTTGACATGAAACTCAAATAGGTTATTTGTTTTGACATCATATTTCATTTGAAAGACAAGTGAGGTCGATGGCTAAATTCAAAATTAGCAGAAATGGTTCCAGTGATTGACTGGAGATTTAATACAAAATATGCTTAATTTGCATTAATGAGAGGTTATGAAATCACACTTTATTGAAAAACTTATGGCATTCTGATGTTATTTCTTTAAATATTAATTCAATTTAAGAGGTTCTTTCCAAATCCTTAGAAAGTGCTAAATTTTGAACCATGAATACATTTAAATTTGCTTCATTACAAATGAGAGTGAATTATTTCAACTATTAAATACTAATACAAAATAGTTTAAACAATTGAATAATTTTGTTTCATTTAATTATTTATTTTATCCAATAAGCCAAACTAATTAGTCATTTAGTTATTGTATTACCAAAAATACTGTTAAGGATTCATCATATAAGGCAGCCACTATTATAGCCATAGAATGAAGAAATAAGTACATCTTTTCCGGGATTCAAACCCCAAGTCTAATTGTATAACAAATGGCTACATTAACCATCATATCAAACAGGATGGCACTGAACGATTTTATTTGACTGAACTACTGAGCATTTCCTAACTATCAAATTGTGTGACAAATTTTATTCAATAGTTTAAACCTGAATATACAGTAAAACAGGGCTTCTTAAACTTTTTTCAGTCTCAACCCCCTTTTATCACTGAGATTTTTTTGCGACCCCCCAGGACCCCATAATGTTTACAAAAATTTTCTGGGACCCCACAAGTATTACGTGAATCCGACACATGTGTCAGCGAAACTGTCAATTTTTCCACTTGTACTGTCATGTACTATTGCAGTTTTAGGTCATTAATTTCTAATTTTAAGACATAGAACAATGTGAAAATTTTAAATAAGTAACAGACGAAATGACAGCATCATGTGCAAAGCAAGGAAAATGAACATTTATATTATAAAAAGAATGCCTTGAAACATTTTTGTTTTTCTTTGTCTGTACTGTCTTATCTTTATCTATTTTCAGATACATGGTGTAAAAATATTTGGTAATTGTAAAATTATTATAATAAGTTAAGGAAATATCAAAACTGCTAAATTTTTTGGTGACCCTTGCTTTAGGTTCCTGCCACAGTTTAAGAAACCCTGCAGTAAAAGAACGTGTTAAGTCTTAGCATGTAATACAGTCAAAAATCTTTAATTAGGACTCGTCGGAACTTCGGTGATTCCGGATTATAGATAATCAATTTAAATCTGGTAAGATGGCATGCAGAAATTATAAAATTAAAAATATGAAACCGTAATTTATGAAATAAAGAGCAATTATGATCTAAAGAGTATCAAAATTTACAAAAAAAAAAAAAAAAAAAAAGCTTAACATTTATTTGTTTACTTTATTAAACATTTCTTTCAACGCACGCATGCGCAAAGCATACATTACGCACAGTCGAAATTAGAAAATTGCAACCAGAAAAGCATTTGATGTGTATTTGTGATATTTATAATGACGAGGAATTTGATTTAAATCATATCAAAGAAGGAGTACATCAAAATGAAATACTACATTTAGTAAGGAATTATAAGCCGAATAAAATAAAAACATCTGCCCTGAAGATAAGGATAGTGCTGACAGATCAACTTCCAGTTCATTGTGCGCCGCAATGTCCCCCCTCCCCAACAGAGCAGTGTGAAATTGATAAACAGATTTCGGAATGGTTAGAGAAACAAGGATATGCCTTTATCCATTTTTTGCAGCAATTCCACTTTTTGTTTGATGGACATCGAAACATGCTTTTGCTTTGTAGATCCTTTGGCAGCTCCAGAATCGGAAATTCTTTTTGACATAATCGAAAGTTCAAGCTTACTTTTATAAAATTGCTCTAACAGTCTGAAAAAAAATAATAAGCCAGGTCCAAGTAGAAGATTAACGAACAACGCAATCTGCAACATTAACTGAAATAGATAATTAGATAATTTTAGCTTAGCTTATACCGTCCGTCATACATTAAACGTGCATGCGTAAACGTATTATGCGCATGCATAAAGGTATTATGTGCATGCGTAAGCGCATGTGTCAACGCATAATGCGTTGATGCATGCGCAGAAAGTTTGTAGCTTTGAGGTCCGGATTATAGATCATTCCGGATTAAAGACTTTTGACTGTATATACTATAGCAATATTTCAATAGAAACACCTTAGCTACTAGAAATCATTTAAAGAACTATTAGTAGAAGAAATCAATGAATACGTGGATCATTAAAATTTATATTATAGATTTTATTTAGTATTTCATTTTTGGCATTAGAATGCAGACTTTGCAATGATTATTGAATTATTTTTTATTGACAATGATTATTGAAAAGGCTATGATATGGCAATAAATTTGACTAATTTAAGTAATTTTTAATCATATATTACTTTACTTTTATTAACTGTATTAAAATGATCCCATTTAACACTATTACATTCAATACTCTGTTTTCTAGGAATATATCTTGAGTATTAAGCAGGAAAAGTATATTTTATATATCTTAGGAGTTCTTATTCTCTCCAAAATTTTATTCCTCAAATTTAAATTTCAATTAATAGCTAGAGCAATTTTGTATTTAATATTACATCAATATCACATATATATGTGGAAAACATACTAGTGAAAATAATCAATTGAAAATATTAGATGAATTTCAGCAATTTTCTGTTAATATTACATCAACATTATATGTAGAAAATTTACTGATTGAAAAAAAATCAATTCAAAATACCTGATGAATTTTTTATGCGATACTTGTTATAATCTGAAACTCCTCTAAATTTACTATTTAATAATGTAGATTGCACAAAACTTTATATATTGAATATCTGAAAGTACACACTAACAGTGAGAATTAACAACAATGATAGATAACATACTTGTTCAGCACCTATAGGGCTTACTGGCTTGCATTTGAAGAGATGGCAGATTAGCTTTGGAATGAATGAGCTATATAAAAGAGTACATTTTCAGCATCTATACAAGTGTTATAAATCACACAGAATGTAGTGATGAAAGGAAATTTTTATTATGATATCTGAACAATAAATTAATTATGCTAAAAAGATGTATGTAATTGGAGTACTTAATTTAAGGAAAGACACAAGAGCTCCATTCAAATTTTAATTTCTGGGAATAGGCATATGTGAGTCAATAATTCAATGTTTCGAATATACAGCTTGGTAATTATATATAATTAAGTGAGTCCTAAATATATTAATGCAGGTTTCTAGTGATGAAATAAAAATAATATTTTAAATGCAATTTTATGCATTAAAAGATTATTATTAAGATTTTTCTTTTATTATTACGATTATTATTTTAAGATGACAATTTAAACAGTCATTTGAAAAAGAAAATATTTCTTAAATACTTCATTTTATATGAATACAGAATGCAGCTGTATGGTTACAATTAGATATAAAAATGGTTAAAAAAAAGGAATGCAAAGTTCGTCGAGATGCTATTTACCTACTTTGCAAAGTTCATGCAGAATTTTGTGAAGTATTTGCGTGATGTAGCTAAATTATCTCTCAGCAAAGGCAAAGTCTGTCTCAGATGTGTAGTAATTGCAGAAACATAACTGCTTTGATCACCAACAGTTTCAAATGCAGACCACTGAATCTAAGAAATAAATATTTTTTTGTTAATTTAAAAATTTAATGAAAATATCATACTGTAATACTACTGTTCTACTATATAACTACTACTAAATGAATTCAAATGATTAAAAATATTTACTAAAAATACTGCAGCAGAATAAAACATTTTATACACATATGAAAACCTTTCTTAACATGAACTGAATATGTGCAGTAACTGTTAATGTGACTAAGTTAAATGATATTACTCCTGCTTCAAGGGAAAGGTAATCATTTGATATAATTTTTACCTCTGTTGCATAAAACATTCTGCAGAGAAAAATAAACAAGTATAATTACAATAGAAATTTAATGAAACTGAATAGCACAAATGATAGAAGCTTTTTTGATTCATATTTAGGGCAACAATGCAAACAAGAACAATAATGGATTGTGAAAAAAGGGGGATTTTACAGCTATAAAACATACTTATCAATGCAATTGTTTGAATTAAGAAATTCTAAAAAAACAAGTTTTATTGAATTTTAAAATGTCTAGCCCCACTTTTTTTAAAAAATTCTGTTTTTATTTTTCTCTCTTCTAGCTCTCTCTATTTTCTGGAATCTCAGTTTCATAGATTTTTTTTTAACTGAGATTCATCTGAGTTCTCCTAGAAAGCACTGATAATAGCAATACAGAAGTTAAAAACTGTATGAAGGTATCAAAAGCTGATGTCATTTTTTGTAACACACCTATGTTCTCCCATCTATCAAAATTTTAAAAATAATATTGTTATTAAAAAAATCATTCCTAACAAAATTGCACAAAACACTGTAATACTTATTATATTCAGGATTGACTCTACCTCTTAGAATGAGTTCAAATTTTCAAAATACACTCTTCTGCAAAAACATCGAAGCACCATGAAGGAAGTGGTTGTTCCTGATGAAATTGAATATATGTATAGCTCATATACAGATAATAAAATGATTAAAAAATCAAGGTCATAGTACCCGTTCACAGCTCACAATCACCCATTAAGTGTTCATATTAGCAGTTGGTCGAACCGCCCGTGGTGGCAATGCATGCTTGAATTCGTCAAGACAAGGAGTAGTAGAGGTTCCTAATGTCATCCTGCGACATATTCTGCCAGGCATTCATCAGTTGTCGCTCCAGATCTGCGATATTTTGTGGTGTCTGAATCTGGCGGCCTACCATGTCCCAGACATGCTCGATTGGTGAAAGATCTGGTGACCTTGCTGGCCAAGGAAGAGTATCAACCACACAGAGGCAGTTCAGAGATATGCAAGCAGTATGTGGCCTGGCATTATCTTTTGGGAAAGGGCTCCAGGATGGCGTGCCATGAAGGGTAATGCAACCGGCTGCAGTATAGTATCAACATATCGTTGAGCTGTTAAAGATGTATGGAGGATGACTACATATGACCAGCTGTCATAAGAAATAGCACCCCACACATCACACCAGAGGTTATGGCTGTAAAATAAAGGCTGATTTATAAAAGAAAGGCTGACTGGGACCGCTGGACCTGTCCTCTCCAGACACAAACATGGTGGTCATCTGCTTCAAGAGTGAAGGGGGATTTATTGCTGAAACTATATGATGCCAGTCTGATGGCAGCCATGATGACTGACTACGACACCACTCCAGACGACTCCGCCGATGTTGTGGGGTCAAAGGCAAACATCTTAAAGGCCTCTGTGAATGTAACCCCGCCTCAGACAAGCGCCGTGAGATGGTGGACGGTACCACGGGAGGTATAGATGTGGCTGTAGTGCGTTGAATAGTCGACAATGATACCGTTGGGGCGGTTCGGGCCTAGCGAACAATCATCCTATTTTGCCTCGCATTTGTGCTCCTTGGCCTTCCAGAGCCTTCATTTCGTTGGCAGTTTGCTTGTAGCAACCACTGCTGCCAACATGTTTGCATAGCAGTGTTTATAAGCTGCAGGTGGCAGCCTATTGCTCAGGTATGACCACCCAGCTTCACGCAACCTTACAATGCGACCACGTTCGAAGTCGTTTAGTCGTCTGTAAGGTCTTCAATATCGTCGTTACGGCATCTTTAGTTGCTTCTTTACAGAATTACAATGGCAGCAACAAAAAAGATAAATTTTCTGCCTCTGTTACTGGTTTTATACTTTGAGAATTGCACACTAGAAATGTGTGCTATGATCCCATTTCCTGTTCCTTTGCCTTGAAACTTTCATCATTTGCATGTTCGATCAAGATTTTTTTGCATACCAAATTTCGTCACGATCACAGAAGTCCTTCTTCATTTGCTTCAATTTTTTTGCAAAATGGTGTATTTAAATTACATGCTAGGGGAGTTTTGCATTAAAAATACATGCAGCCTCTTAAAAAATTATACATATATATACATTACTTTATTCATAGCTGTAAGAGCAGGTTCACATGCAGATTCCAAATTTTGTACAAGGAGCTGTATGCAGTTTGATATCACACTACAAAGTGGGAAAAAATATTTTTGATGACTCTTTACAATACTTTTAATTAATATAAATACATTTAAGGAATAAGCAAAATATACATTTAAATATATCATTTTCATAAATTTAAAACAAACAACAACAACAGCAGCAGGGAAAAAAATAAATAAGAGGGAAAAAACCCTTTTAAATATATGTTGTGTAAAATATAGTTAGTAAACCATACACACAAAGGCAAATAAAAAAATCCACAAAAATATATGACATGTGTTCCTCATAAAATGCCATTATATATTTTGGTAATATATTATTTCAAATTGCAAATTATATGCAAAACCAGTTACAAGGATAAATGAATATGGATAAGCTGCATATTATGAATCCTAGCCTCAGAAATGCACACTAGCATTGAAATGAGTCTCCAATGGAAGGAATTTAAAAGGCAGATTTAAACTGATTTGAAGGAATACAGGGGAGTATGAGAAGTGCCAAGCAAGCTATTGAAGCAAAGTATAAGAATGCAAGATGTTATTAAACAGAAGTGATGGTCGGAAAAATTATAGCAAAAGTCAAGTGAAAGAAGTCAAATGATAAATCTCAACTGTATGCTTTCTCTTTCAAACACTGAGAACAAATGACTACTAAAAATGAGTTGCAGTTCATGTCTGTGGGGGAAAAAGCATCATGAAAAACTAATGCACCATTATAATATTTACATGTAAGTTCATATTCACTTTTAAAAGTGATTCCAGACATGTTCTGATTTGGTGAGAACAAACATAATTACTTCTATAATACTGGATTCATAGTGATGTGTCATGAATCACCTTTTACAAACTTATAACTTTAACCTGGTCATGAGTTTTGTTGCCACTTTGCATATATTATGCTTTCTTATCTTCTTTAATCATGTAGAAATCATCTTGATGATTGAAAATGCTATGTCAGATCTTGAAAACACATAGAGACAATTTAAAAATTAGCCCCCCCAAAAAAAATCTCAGTTTGATGTGAATTTTTAATAAAATAATATAATTTTGCCCTGCAAAATAAAAATATAAATAATAACCAAAAGTTCACAAACAATATGGAAAAAAAAAAAAAAAATATTTGCCATTGAAGAAAAAAATTAGCCTAAGCAGATTAATAACATTAATCAACATTTTTTATGAGATTAACTTAAACATGGTTTCATACACGTGGGAATGCAAAGGGGAAAAATATATACATATATGTACATATACAAAAATGTTACATCATCAACAACAGATAAGCACGAACGGCACATGCGTTAGGAGAAGCGCTTTTAACAGCCTTAATTTCTAAAATCAGAAGTGCCGGAGCACTATGGAAGGCGATCAGAAAAAAGGTGAAAAATAAATAAAATAACTAATAAAAATAAAGTGACTAATAATTAAAAAAATAATTAATTAAATTCAAATTCAATAAAATATAAAGATATAAATAAAAATTTAATAAATTGTTAAATTCATGATAAATAGTTAAATAAAAGAAAAAATATCAAGCCTGATCTTAGCAAAAAAAAATCTCCCCCGAATCCGATCCAATAACAACATGAGAACAAATGCAAGGTCAGCAGAAGTGCCAAATTTTGTCTCCCATGTTTGGTTAAGTCTAGAGAAGCAAGCTCTGTAGCGAGAGGCCACTAGCGCTGCACGTGCACGATCAAGGCAAACACTTTTAGTACTTTTGGGTACAAAAAATTTTACCTGCTCTCATAAATTCATTGCATTACCTGGAGAATAGGCCTTTGACATGTGGATGGGGGATTTCCTTCCCTTAAAAGTCTTAATACCTCCGTCTGTTTTTCCTCCCCAGAGAAAGACAGGTATGAATTTGGAACTTATAATAGATTTTCAATGTATATTTATTTTCAAAATAAAATTTTCCTCCTGAAACTGTGCTTTATTTATATAAAAGAAGTACAGGAGCCGTTTTATTTAAGGCTGCGCTGCACTCCGGCTAGAACCACAATTTACCTCAGAAACTGAGAAGTACCAGAGCCAGGATCTGGTAGGCTCTGGTGCAGTTAAAGCTTTGGCTCTTAAGCTTAAAAGTCATCTTATAATTTATGATACAACAGTAATAATAAATGCATGCTACTATTTGAATCTTACTTGAAATACACCAAAAAATTTAATTAACAATTATCGAAACTGCTATAAACAAAACTTGGAAGTAATAAAAGAACAATGGTATTCACAAAGCCAAATGGAATTTTAGTAATTAAAAAAAAATAAGCAACACCAAATTTAAAAATATCTGCAATAACCTAATTTAAGCCAAGATAATAATTTTGAAAGACTATCTGTATGCGTGTGTGTGTATGTATATATATATATAAATGAAAATTATCTCCTAGGAAATGTGATGTGAAATTTAGGTAGCATATTCCAAATTCATAGATTTAAAAAAAAATGTACAGAAATTAATGACTTAATAGAAGAGAGAGTTTTACTTACACAAATACTTTAAGCGAATAGCATACCTACAAATTTTATTAATTATTATTTTAAAAAAGCTGGCCATCAAATCTTTAACAGGTAATGGTAAACTTATTCGAAACCTTAGGGAGGCTAAGAAAGGATGTCCTGAAAGCTTTAAAGATCTGCATATTTTATAATTTAACTGTATAAAATATTTTCTATGATTCCAACTGGGATCTAGAGGTTAGCAACACTGACTGCTGTACTGAATGGCCCGGGTTTGAATCCCAGAGGAAACATGGATTTTTTTTTTTAATGTATAGCATCTGTGCAGCATGGGAGAATCTAAATATGTGGTGACCCGAATGTCCTCTCAAGAGGTTGATAGCAGGGTTCCCCCGGGGTGCTCTCCATCAAAATTGGGGGTGGTACTGAGCAAAGTCTTACTGTCACCTGTATGGTGTCCAAGGCTCTTACCAATGTCAGGTGCAGTCTTGCACTCCTTGCCACGATGAGCTTCATAAGCTTGTTCTGATGTTACTGTCAGACAAGTGAGATAAGTCAAAACAACAAATATTTCCAGTAAATATTCTGGCAACCATCCTTTTTAGATGTAAACAAATTCTTCTTTTAGATTGACTTTCAGCCAGAATTCATTCTAAAAAATAATTTTACGTGGAATTTTTCAATTATAAACTTTTTAATTTTTCTTTGCATTTAAAAATTTTTGACAACCCTCAAAGTCTCATGCTTGTTGTTGTGATGGTGCCATTTTGAAATTTTTTTGGTTAGGGTAAAATGTAAGTAACATTTAGAATTAATTTTGGCCTCTTAATATGTAAAAAATTTCATGTTTAAATGAGTTTTATTGGTTTCTTTCTTTTCATTTACATCTTGTTTTTTATTTCAATTTCTCATATTTTTTCTTATTAGTTTTAAGTAATGTTGTGTATGACTGCTATATTTATTTTTGAAATTAGTTGTAATTAATTGTCTTTCCACTTATCAGGGAATTATCTCACTTATCTGAATTTTTAGGACTTAAATTCAGATATTATAAAATTGAAAAGGAATTTTTTTCTGATATGCGATATGATAAAACGTGCTTCTCATGAATTGTTGATAGCTGTACGGAGAGATTCCATTTTCCCTTTGATAAGATGGGAACGTTCTATGGAATCAGCAATAACTCTCGTTTTATTCTTTTGTTTTCCATTTTAATTGGCATTTCCAGTGTATTTATTTACAAAGTCCAATTATCTAAATTTCACTTCACATTTTCTAGGAGTCTGTAGCAATAGGACAGGATTTTACTTTTTAGTCCTTTTAAACAAATTTTTAAATTCACTAATTTTAAAGTTTTACTTTACATATATATATTATTCATAAGTTTACAATCACTATTATAATAACAGAATATTTTTATGTTTCTTCAACATTTCTTAAATCACACTGATAAATAGTAAATTAAATTACATCATAAAATGAGTTTTGCAACAAATATTTCTGAAAATTAATATTCTTCAATAAAATTTCCACAATTAGATTTAAATCTAATAAATTACTCTATCTACCTTAGTATTAGCAATATTGTTTAAGTAATGTAAATTTTAATTTTAAAACATTTGTAAAATAATTTAAATACATAAAGCATTAAAAAGAATTAATCAATTCTAAAACAATTTAAAAATTCATAGTAGTTCATAATATCACACACCCTGGCACTATTATGTACTGCTATTAGATTTTGCATAAAAAAAGTTTGCTTCTCTCATTTATTTGAAGAGAAAATGCAAATATAAAATTTAAAAATGGGTAAAACAGCAAGCCCTGTTTGGCACAGATGTTAACAGGAGATGTTCATTGTTTTTTTTTTTTTTCCTTCTTTTTTTTTTTTTCCATTTTTTGAAGAGCACAAGAGAAAAAATTTGCAGAAATTTTTGCTCCTAAAAGGACATGTGTCTGATCATCCTCAAAATCGATTGAAATATTCAAAATCGAAGCCAAACTAAGGCACTTCTTTGTCTAATTTTTAAATGGTTAACTAAAATCAGAAACAAGCTGCTTGGCAGTATCTTCTTGATGCTTAAGAATTCTTATAGTCTATTTTGACCTCAGTTGCTGACTTTCTGTTATTTAGTAATTTTATTTTAGTTAAAAAAAATATTTGATAACATAAACAGAATTGTTGGTCACAATATGCAAAGTATTTTATATGGTTTCATATATAAACATAATAAATAATAACATTAATAATCCAAATGATAACATTAACTGCAATTACATTAAGTGGTATCCACTATATTCATACTTACTTATGGAAAACATCCTGTTCTGCAACAAGATTAACTTGATTTGCAAGGGTTGGATCCACTTTTTCTTTCAGTTTTCCTTCTAACTAAACAATAAACATAAAATAATTGCACAAAATGCTGAACAACACAACATTTTAAGTTCAAATAAAGGTTCTTTACCTTTTAAAAAAAGTGCAAAAATTATTCCTTTAGTTGATATATATATTGTTACAAATTTAGTATAGTAAATAATTTTATTGAAATTATATGTAAATTATAATATCTCTTGTAAAATGTAATATGAAAGACTTCAGAATGTGAAGTTTTGCCAGAAAAGTAAGGTTACAAAGTTTAGGTGCATTTAAGTCTGACATAAATGAGCATGTCAAACTTTGTGACCATTTGGTGGCATTTCGGTCTGATTCCTCTGTAACTGCAAATGGTTTAATCCTTATATAACTGTAATTGTGTATGTCTTCCAACAATTTTAAGAAATCGAAGGTACTGGAAATTTCTCGGCAGACAGGAGAAAATCTGTACAACGAGAGAAAGCATTGTTTTTCAGTTTAGCTTAGAGTATTGAGAGATTACCGTGTGAGCTTTCACTTTTGAAGTGCTTTGCATTGCCTTGTGTTTAACATTCTAAGGTAGTTTGAAGTGGAACTACTGATTGTGTTCTGTCATACTGAGTACAAGTATTTTTCTGCTAAACGATACAGAACTGAGTTTTTTTTTTAAAATTTTTTATTTATTATTTTTTTTTAAATAAATTTCATCAAGCTTTCATTGACTCTGTGTGCATTAAATCCATCACAGACCTATATGCATGTAACAGTACATATAAAAAAATAATTGACAAATTCTGGGAACCTTGCTTATTTTCATTATTGTTTGTAAATTTAAGCTACATTATAGTCTTTCAATATAATCATATTTTAATTTTGCTCATATGTCCCAGACTGAATGTAATCTACTTCCCTACTGATAAAATGAAGGATAAATAAAACAGTTAATAATTATCTTTTATGCAATTACTCATAATGCTCCATAGGACTTCTATTTATTACTGAATGATTTTAAATGATTTAGTAACTTTTTAAATATATTTAAAATGAATAAATCTCACTCTCTGAGTTTACAGTACCTTTTATAGCTGAAATATTAACAGTCATGAAAAGATCTCTACTCATTATGCTGCAGTCAACAAAAATCAATATTAAAAGACCTAAGTTAAACACAATACTATAAATCTATAATAATTCCTTTTACATTTTTCTAGCATTGTGTAATGAATGATGAAATTTTGGAAATATCCCATATCTGTGTTAAAATAAATTATAATGAAAGTAAAAGTTTGCAGACAATATATTTCAGTAGATTAATAATGACCGACTGATAGACTGGATAATCAAAAGAAGGTAAAAACAAAAGTGACAACATGCTACAAACCCTGGCTGACCCCATAAGATCTCATTCACTTCTTTTATTTAACACATATTTAACAAAATAATGACTTTCTAAATTTAAGTAACATTTATGCTCAAGCTACTTTTGAATTATAAGGAAAATAATACATACTTGTAATGTAGTTTCTAAGCAATAATCTGCAGTGGTCAGAATGCTACAAATATGAATCTGTTCTGCAGGACTAAATCTAGTAACTTCTCCTTCCTTCAATAAACTTTGAATCAAATTTGCAGAAGATGGGGCATTTCCAACTCTACATGTAAAAATGCTTATAATTTAATATCAGCTTTCATAACCAATGATGATTATGATATGATTTAAAATGAATATTTTTCAAATTAAATCCAAAATTTGTACAAGATACTGTTCACTGATAATTTAAAATATTTTCTTCATTTTTATATGCATAATTATTTCATTCAAAGAGAGATTATCATGTGTGATTATCACTTAAAAGTTTTAGATGTTAACTACATCTAAAAACTGGATTTACATCTAAAACTGGAAAATTATAAAACTTTATAATTTTTATACTAAAATCTTTGAGGAGATATTAAACAGATATTAAACAATTATTTTCACAAAATTGCACCCAAAGAATTAATTAGCAGTGAAGGAATAACGAGAACTAACAAGAAGGTGAGAGTGGGCTCAGCAAAACTTATATTTTATTGGACATTTTTATAATCATATGAAAAATAAGAGAATTGAGTATTATTTCATATATTTAAGAGATATTCATAAAGAATAGATCCAATCTCCTTCATGCATTTGTATATTTCAGAAGTTATATTAAATATTACTGGGTATTCAAAAAAGTTTGTACCATTAATATTTGTGAGAAATAATGACCCCCCAGTACTTATGTGAATGTATTTTATTTAATAAAATAATCTTCTGCTGTATGGATTACTTGTTCCCAACTAGTTAACAAGGTTATACATCTCACAATTTTAAAAATTCTCGTTCCTAGGTCCAAAAATTCGATTATTGTCTGTTAGACATGACATTAGGTGCAGAACTGCTGTTCACAAAAACGCCCAAAAACAAGTGACAGTCGGACACTGCAGCATCCAGAATGTAAGGTAAATGAGGTAAACTTCCAATTCAAACGTGTTAATCACTTTTTGGATTGCTTTTGCTATACAAGTGGAGTTTCCTTTCCCCAAAACATCACTTCTTTCCCATTGACTAGAGCTGGATGCTTCTGATGCAGTGCAGTGGTTTTGTACTTTCTAGGAATCAAAGTACATAATACCAGTGCTGGTCTACCAAACACAGAACAGTACTTTTTGTTCTTGTCCTGGAGACTTTCACCTCCCAATTGTAATCAGACTGAACCACTTTCATATTGTTACAAAACGTATAGGCACGGTAAGACGGCTCTCCCACAAAGCAGGTTTAGGGTTGCCATAAAATAGCAAGGGAAGGCAGGGTTGCCACATTTGGCGAGAAATCGTCCATTTGGCAACAAAATTGACAATAAGTCATGGACGGATGGAGAACCTGCTGGAAGAATTCTTACCGGTTTAACCCAGAATGCTCTCGAGCACAAGCCGAAAGCTATATAAACCCTGCTGGTCCACAGGCAGTGAGTGCCTCGTCGAGAGTGCGAGGTAGTGTGCCTCATCTAGTTAGTCCATGCGGAGACGATCGAGTTGACAGCCGGCCAGCGAGTGCCGAGTGGGTCGTTGAATGCATCGCAAGTTGTAGCATGGAGAGTCTCGAGAGTATGTGGAGTTCCGAGAAAGACCAAGCAGAGTCGGGAGCTGTACTCTGGTGCTTTGCAGTGAAGCTGTCTCCACCGTTATGGCCTGACAGTGTCGCTGATTGTTCCAGAGTGTTTATAGTAGATCTTGAACGACTGTAAAAAGTTACTTTGGAGCTGTCCTGATTAAGATTGGCTAAATAAAGTGTGTTTTGATACTTCATCAAGTGCTGTCGTCATTATTCACTCCAAATCCTCACCAACCCCGTACGGACGTGAAGGAAGAAAATAACGTAACAACTGGTGTCAGAAATAAAAAAGTAACAATATTGTATGCTATTCACTGCTGTTTCTCCACATGCGGAGCATATTTCTTAGCAATTTCAGCAATCTTACTGTCCAATTTGAACTCATAAAGCAAACATGGTCATAATATTATACATCCTTCAACACTGACATGTTCCCTTCAGGACTGTATTTTCCACAGAACTGCTCACATTCAATATGTAATCTTGCCAGGGTTGCCAAAATCTGCTATTTGTATTTTACTTTTTACTTCAACAACACAAATTTTTTGGATACCTGGTAAATGGGGCAGAAATTAAATAATTCTCATAAGAAACATATCATTAAGTAAAAAAGAATCCATAAGCAGAATTTTTGCAAGAATTATGCTAACGTGTTTATAAATCAATTTGTAATATGTTATAAATTGTTATTTTACACATTTTCCCTTTTAAGTTGTAACATAACAGCATCAACAATAAGAAAATCAATCAAAGTTAAAAATTTAATAACTTGCTCATTTTCATTTAAAAAGATCCTTTGCAGATAAATTCAGTGAAATAATACAAATTCTATAGTTATTGAACAAATACAAAAATATCTAATTGCTACATAATTCAAAGTCCCAAAATTTACAAGAAAGCCAGCAAGAGCTTTTAATACTTTAAGTTACTTTAATCTCCCTATTGATAAACTGTTCAAAAGCACTAACTATTTTTAGAAATAAAAATACTACTAATAGACAGGGGGGGAATACCCTATAGATACAGGGGGGGGGAAATTACTTTGGTAAACTATTTTGCAAGACTCTGTTGGCATATTCTCTCAAATATTTTTGAAATACAGCTGTGAGTGCTAACATAGGTTGTCCAATGCTCAATTGAGAACATTGAACGAGGCATTTTTTGTAGAATACAAAAAGATCAGCACAAGATGGCAGGACATTAGCTTGATCAACTTCAGGTTTCGGAAGCTCCGCTTTCTGCATGTCTTCCACAAACCCATCCATCAATTGAGCAAGATTTCTACAAAATTAAAAAAAAAAAAAAAAAAAAAAAAAAAAAAAAAAAAAAAAAAAAAAAAAAACTTTCAACACATGAGTTGACTACATCATAGTCTTAAAACTTTCTTAATAAAAATGTTCAAGAGATTACCTATCTTGATATTCAACATATATGTTTAAATGTGGTTCAAAGCATCGAGAAATTATACCTTGAAAGGGATTCTTTACTTTTATAATTGATGCCTAGAAAATTAAAAGCTGATAATAACAACATTAAATATAGAAAGCAATAACACATTTAACATTTTAATAATATTTAATATTCTTACATTTTCAGCCTGACTGGTTTCAGAAGGAGTTTCTAATTCTTTCTTAATATCTTCCTTGAAAGGATTGGTTTCTTCTGGTTCTTCAAATGGATTTGGAGCCTATATTGAATTTAACAATCCTTAAAAGAATTTATAAATATTTCTTATACCAGAATATCAATATTACAAATTTATTACATGATATTTTGGTAAGAACACTGCAATAATATTCTTGTTGCATAATAAAAGCCAGAAATGTTTTAGAAAATAAATATGATACAACAAAGCTGGCACCAAGAATTTTTCAGTACTGTATAGTAGCACATTTTGCTGCTCCTCTTTTAGTTAAATATATGTCAATTGTTACCCTTTCTTAAACTGTGGTTATGAAAACTTAATTCAGAAATCCAAATTTAAAAAATAATAGTCACAACCCATTTGTTAATTTAATATACTCTATACCTCTAAATAAGAGGTGATATTTCCCCCCTAAACTTCTCACTGAAAAAACATGGGGCCATCTTGCATTTGTAACATATGATATGGTGTTTCCTTTCCTTTACAAAATAGTTTCACTAGCTTCCATTAATCTCAAACTTTACCCTCTGCAATGCTGGATACTTTAACTCTGAACAGTTGCATGCACTTTGAGCGTTGTCGTGTGATAGTACCTAGGGATAGTTGTGGTGCTATAGCATGAAGTGTTATGATGCATAAAGTGTCATGATGAATATTTTTATTATCATTTGTTGTGCAATGCTGTAGAATCCACTTGTGAACTTCACAGTAAAGTGTAATATGCAATTACAAATATATGGTATATATGCATACCTGCCAACCTCTAAAGATAAAAATTCAGAAGATTTCTCCAAAATTCAGAAGAACACAAAGAATTGATATCATGCTTTGATATTGAAAAAATAACAATTTATACAAATAGAAAAAGAAAATTGTACTTACATTAGTAAATCTCAATTAAGTAGTAACTAAAAAATTTATTAGGAATCATAAAACAAGAACTTAATGTTACACAAAAAAATTATTGCAATGAATTTAGAGTGCATTTTTTGGCTTTAGCCAAAAATTCTTTGGAAAATTTCCTGTCATAACAATTAGTTTCCTCATAACATTTAGCAATTAAAATGTTTTCTAGATGCACATAAAACTCTTGCTAGTCTTATCATATTTTGGTGTTCCATCAGCTCTTTTTATTCTTTTTAAGGTACCAACGAGGACATCAAGTCTATCTTCTCCAGAACTGACAAAGTCTTCAAACTGTGCAGCAGAAAATTGGTTCTGTAGTTCATCTAAAGCATCATTATGGCATTCATTTTCTTTAATTGTTAACAAAAATGGAAATTTATCAATAAAAAAACGAATCTTTTCAAAAGATGAAACATCCGTCTGAGAAGTTGACCGGCGTGATCAGCAGCGCTTAGCGGCACGTTGTGCTCGATGAGGAATGCAGTAAACAAACACTCTGCCAAAATCACATAGGAATCCGAATTCGTAGCCGAATTTGAAAAAAAATCATCCACTTTCTTTGACGTTGTCGAAGCCGAAGCATTAACTTCATGATTTTTAGACTTAACATGCTTCACAATGTCACTTCTTACACCGTGACTTATTATGAAGTCACACACGCACACGTTGCAAAATGCAGTTATTTCCTTTGAAGGATTCTTTAATTGTTGGAAATTCGGCTTTGTAGGCAGACCGAAAATATTGAGAATACGTTTTTTTTAAACTCATTTCGTAACAACGACGTATTAAGAAAATTCGTAGCACGTGCAAACAAAAAAAAAAAAAAAAAAAACAGAAATGCGACAATCCACGCTCGCTGAGTCCGAGCTCATTCCCTTGCTGCTGAAGCGAAACGCCAAAAAAAATAATCTGGCGTCCCACAAAGAAAAGAGTGGGAGAAACAAGTTCAGCGCATTGGATTGGCTGGTTAAGCGGCGAGTTGGTAGAAACCGCAGGTTACTGGATTCGAAGTAGTCGGAAGTTGGCGGTAAAACACGATGCAATTGGCGAAAATCGCTGAATTGGCGAAAAATTCTAAAATTTCGACAAAAATCACTAAAAACACTTGAAAAAGGAAAAAAAAATCGTAAAAAATGGATTACGATCGTAAAATCGTAAAGACAAACGCATTTTCGTAAAAATTACGAAAAATTCGTAAAAGTTGGCAGGTATGTATATGGTATTTTCTTGACTTTATTTTATGGTTACTCATATGTGATGAATTATAGTGCTGAGGTTCAACATCAAACTTCACAAATGGGTACAAGTTTCAAAATCATGATTATTTTGCATGCAGAAGAAACAAACAACCATGTGGTATCGAGAAAGTATGGTGTCACAGAAACTAATGTTCAGAGACGGCAAAAGGACATCTTAAAATTGCTCATTCAACTGGAAAAGCTTCCAGTGCCCACAGGGTGGATGTTTCAAGAATACTAAAATGGAATCAATGGCATTTGTGTGTGAGAAATGTAAAGACAAAATACTATGTTCTGCAATGTCATATGAATTAAACCTGAGAAGTGGCATACAATGTTTAGTTTAAAGCCAGCTCTGGGTGGTGTATAAAGATGATTTGATGCAATGGACATGCTGTGACATCGGACATCTCTTAATGTCTTCTGTCTTTCACCATCATATGAGGAGAAGTTGGCTGATTAGTGGTGATGCTTGATAATACTGAGACAGAAACGATTACCTCTTACAGCAAACCCAAAATGCTGACGAGACTGCTGTTTACTTCGATTTGCTACCTAGTACTACAGTTGAAGAAAAAGGGGTCAAAAGTATATTGGTTTAGTACATGGGCAATGGGAATTGCTATATGGGCAATATCTGAATCTGTAAGTTTAGGAAATGTATCTAATATTTGCTGTGCACTTTTTCCCTGTAGTCAAATTTAAAAAATGGGGGATTTGAAAATATACAATATTACATTTTCTGTACAATGCAATAATAAAACTGTAATACTCATTAAGTTGAACTGTAAGTTATATTTACACACTGAAAAATACCCCTAAGATATTATAATTGGAGTATCGCATATGAAGTTCAGTACATAAATTATATTTCAGAATCAAAATATGTCGCACATGCACAGTACATAATGTCCTGTGCTGCACAAGCATGCTGGGAGTTAAGACTGTACAACTGCAATTAGTGTGGTGATAATGCTTTCATAGTATAGTCTGTTGTTTCTGTTTTATTACAACATGTGCTTACATCCTAAGAAAAATACATTATTATATTTTATTGTTTCACTTGACTAAAATTGGTATTTATTTGAATAGATATTATAAAAGATATTTATTTTATTTACATTTCAGGACAAAAATATTTTTACCCATGGATAAATGGCTGAACCTGAGTATCAAAAGCAATGACGCAGATGGCAATGCTATCAAATCTCTTTAAGCTCGATCTAATGATCAAAATAGGCATCTAAGATGGGAAAAAGAAAACATGATGAGACATTTCTCTAACACTTGCTTTATTTTGAACAACTGTGATGGTAATGAACAACCTCTTTGTTTAATTTCTAATAATATTTTACCTATGGGCAGCAAGAAACCATCAAAATTAAGAAGGCACCTTGAATCTTCACATACTTCATATGTCAATAAACTAAAATAATATTTCAAATGACTATTAAAATCTTTAAATAAAGGAAAATCACATTTTGAGAAATTTATGCCTGTTAATAAAAAATATTTATTTGCACGAAATGAAATTTTGTATCTGATTGCTAAAAATAAGAAGTCATTCAAAATTGGAGAAGATCTTGCTGCTTTAAAATGGTCGAAGCACTTCACAGAAGCAAATATAGTGATAATATTAAAAAAATTCACATGCATTCTTGATAACTGATCTGCAACAATGTTTTCACTTCCACTAATATGGTATATATTAGTAGAAAAATTGAGATATGTATTGCAATTGTTGCATTTGTCTTGGTGATGCCTTTTCGCTCTTTTGTATGAAATTTTGAAATCATGAATTTCAAACATATTAAAAATGTTTAATTGCAAGATATATTCCCAGAAACTTGCAGTCATAAGTAATGTAATTTTTCTGAGTGCTATTTAATTTTTTAGAATAAAACGCTAAATGTTTCCATGCTTCATTTTCCAACAGTTTGAAATCAATGCCCAATCAGATGCATCCATGCATAGTGACAAGGGCAAATCTGGGCGGTACTTTGGTAGATGGTTGCATGGATTTTTGGCGATTTACACTGGCGCAATTGTTGGTACGGTTATTACAATCATCAGCCATCTTGAAAAACGCTGTTTTTATGTATTTTATGCATAGTAAAGTATTTGGAAAAAAAAAAAAAAAAAAAATTAAAAATAATGGATTAATTTTTGGTTGAAAATGTTGTTTTTTAAGATGGCTGGCAAATGTAAATAAATATACTAACAAAGAATATAAAATACTAAAGTAAGGTTAAATTATTACTTTCATATGGCAAAGAAATAGAATAAAAACACCGCTATAAAAACATTGCGCCAACGTTTAACTGGATTAAAGTACTACTTTAAATTGAATTGAATATCGAATTAAAAACATCATTAAATTGAATATCGAATTAAAAATATCATAACCAATGTTTAAAAGGATTAAAATATTACTTAAATTCAAATACTTTAAAATAAATTTTATAGGATATAATTATTTAACATTAAAACATATGTGGCAATAAATATCTCCACAATTTTTGAAAACAGTATATTAATTTTTTAATAAAAATTGAAGTATACAATGATAAAGTAAAAGAAAAATATGTACTTACATTTTTTTTTAGTATTTTACCTGTCATATATTGATAAGTACCACAAAAAAATCAGAATCATAATTTAGATACCAATGAAAAAATTTGCCGGTGAAAAAGGAAGAATGTCTAATAGTTTTTTTACCGTTACAGTGGTTATTTCTTCCACCGCGACCACAATACCATATACGGGCATCCTCAGAATCGGCTTTTTTAACAATCTTTATCTGTGATCCACATATCTCACACTTCATTGAAGAAGCAATCAGCGAGGTTTCCTCCAAAAATTTAAAATAAATTTCTTCTGACTCTTGTAACAATTTATAAGTAAATCTTGAATTAAGAAAGGCCAGGTTAGCCAAAATAAGGTCTCAAAGGACAATTTTTTGATTCCAATACCAATAGTTCTTGGTAATTACCAATAACAACATTCATCTTCAAAGCAGACATATCCATTCACTTTGAAAACTAACGAATTCGAACAGATGAATAATAAAATTTTAAAATGGTGCGGTAATGCACAAATATTCAGTAACCAATCAGGGAGCTGATTACATCACGCGTAGAATTAAAATTATTTAAATAATCATATATAATAAAATAATTTTTAAAAAAATGCAAAATTAAATTGTATTTTAATATTTAACAGCCATAAATAATGTTTAAAACATTAGATTAAATTTATAGATATTAAAACAAATTACTTTTAAAGTAAGGTGACGTCACTGATTACATCATCCACAACATAAAATTATATAAAACATCATAAACAATAAAATTTTTATTTCAAGTAAAAATGCAAAATTAAATTGATTTTTAATGTTTAGAAGCCATAAATAATATTTAAAATACGGAATTTATGCATAATAAAACAAATTATTTTAAAAATAAAATGACAACAAAGTATCGGTTACCATAAATAACTTGTCCAGCAGTGGGTTTACCATAAGTCGTATCGCTCACAAAAAAAAAAAAAAAAAAAAAAAAGCCAAATTCCGTGCAACCGTCTACCAAAGTAGTACCCAAATCTGAATTGGGATATCTTAAAAGAGCTGCTACATTTGTCAAATCCTGTTTACACTTTTCAAAGTTTAATATAGCTTCATCTGACCATTTAATTTTTTTTCTATCTCTTTTCTTACACCCTTTAGGATTCATGAAGTATTGCTTGTGTCTTTCCAGCATCTTTCAAAAAAGGTCGATAAAAATTAAGCAACCCTAAGAAAGAGTGCAAGTCATGAATAGTCTGTAGTAATTTATAGTTCAATATTGCTTTGACTTTTTCAGGTAGAAGCCCTTCGTTGTTATAAGATATCCTAAGAATTCTAAGCTATCAGTACGTGTGATCGACTTAGAAATGTTGATTCTCAAACCATATTTATCTAATCTATCGAAAATATGTTTCAAGTGATGTCTGTCTTCTTCTGAGGCAGAAGCAATTAATATGTCATTGAGATATGGAATCCAAACCTTGAAGTATTTCATGTATAAATCTTTAAAAAGTAGATGGTACATTTCGTAATCTGCAGCTCATTACATTAAATTCATAGAGGCCAAATGGCGTAATTATGGCGGTTTTCTGTTTGTCCTCATCAGCTATAGGAATTTGGAAATAGGCTTTGAAAAGATCAATTTTGGAAAATATTTTTTTGCCTTTTTAAATATGGTTAAAATCATTAATCCCAGGTAAAGGATATCTGTCAGGAATAGTTATAGCATAAAGTCTTTGATAGTTTCCACCGGGACAAAAATTTCCATCTCTTTTAAAGACTAGCCCATGGAGATGTAAACTGTCTTATTATATTGTTTTCCAACATATACTGAAATTCTTCTTTGGCAATCTGTAATTTTTTACTGTCTAGCTGTCTTGGTTTGGAATACACCAGTTGACCTTCACTTAAAATGTGGTGCTTAACATTAGTTATCAAAATATTAGGTTTTGTAATATTCGGATACTTGGATAACAGATCATGGTATTTTAACTTATCATGTACTAAACTTGCATCATTCATTTTGGAGATGGCTGCAATGTCACATTGAGAAGTAAGGTTAGTTACACCATTGATTAATATTTTGTTGTTTAAATCAATTAATAACTTGAAATGGTCTAAAAAGTCTACTCCTATTATGCCTTTATTAATTTTGGCAATAATGAATAGCCATCGAAAAGCTCGATGAAGGTCAAGATCAAGGCATTAAAAATTTTACCCCATAAGTGGGAATTTCTGTGCCAGACAATTTTAGAACTAATTTTAATTTCTAATTTTAGAACAATGTGAAAATTTTAAATAAGTAACAGACAAATGATAGCATCATGTGCAAAGCAAGGAAAATGAAAGTTTATATTATAAAAAATATGCATCAAAATGTTTTCGTTTTTTCCTTTATCTGTATTGTAATATCTTTATCTATTTTCAGATACATTGTGTAAAAATATTTGGTAATTGTAAAATTATTATAATAAGTTGAAGAAATATGAAAAATGCTAAAATTTTTTGCAACCCCCTGCTGCAGGTCCTGCGACCCCCAGTTTAAGAAACCCTGTTTTAAACCATTAAAATTAAACTGCAACTTACTTCTTTTTTCGGGAACTGATGAATGACAGTTGAATCCAATGTAACACCTGAAAACCGCCGGGCTAGAAGAGATTCAAAGCTGGTTGTTTTTTCTATAGCACCCAGCAAAAGTCGCACATTTATTTCAGGTTTCCTAGATATCATTATTTTTCCAAGTTCTTTTCTGAAACATGAGCAAATATACCTTGCATTATTATGATTAACACTGTTCATATGTTTTAAATAACTGCAAAACTTTATTGCTTATATGCTACATTTTATACTCATTTTGTATGTGCATCATTATTATCTATAAATTTAACAATATGATAACCCTTTTATTCACAAAGTCAGCAATGACAATTATACAATCATGTTTATGGTAATGAAATCATAATCCATTATTAATTAGAAAGAGAACACAATTAGGAAATTTTTTCTACCATAGTAAAAACAGCTATTTCATACAGGAGTTAATATGTTTATAATCTTTTGCTAAGTCATTGAGTGAATACTTTTCTTAATATAATTCACTGCCACTCTTTTGGGACTTTTTAGTCCATTGACTAGTCATTTTATAACTAAGGTCTAAAATATTGGGAAACACCCATGGAGCTCAAGCCCCCATCATTTTTCATAACTAGGGTCTAAGAATATTGGGAAACACCTATGGAGCTCAAGCCCACATCATTTTTCATAATTAGGGTCTAAGAATATTGGGAAACACCCATGGAGATTAAGCTATAGTATTTAACAACAGAAAAAAAAAAATCAAATGCCTGACAACTCTTAAAAGAATAGAATTTTATTTCCGCAAGAAGACTAATATTTTCACTGATGCTGGTGTCATGTACTATGCTTTGTCATCCCAAACTACTCACAGCTTTATGCACTCAAATTTTGTAGAGACTATTAATGCCTCTTTATATGGCCAGTTATTTTACAAAGGATTGTGCAAAATTTGGCATTATTTTAGTTCTTGTCAGAGATATCTTTGAACAATGATAAAATAATTAAATAATAAACACTCATTAACATTTTGCAGGTGGGTGTGATTTTTTTACACTTTGAAAAATGAAGCAGGCAAATTCAATTATTGCCCCTTTCAATCAACTTCATGATTTATGAATGTTATTAATCTGAATAAATTTAAAAGAGAAATGCACATATAAAGACAAATAAATTAATGCACATATAAAGACAAATAAATCTCTATCTATCTGTGTGTATATATGTATATATTATATAACAGCATCATATATCTTTTATTTTAAGACAATTATCCCAATATTATTTTCCCCAGATTATTATGCTGAAAATTTAATCAATTATAGGCAAAAGGTAAAAAATTCAGAACCAAATTCACAAAGACATGAAAAATGAAATTCAATACAGTCAAAAGTCGTTAATTCGGACACCCATAATCCGGAATGATCTATAATCCGGACCTCAAAGCTAAAAACTTTCTGCGCATGCGCCGCGTTGACGCATGCACATAGGCGTTTAAGCGTGTGCGTAAGACCTTTACGACTGCGCATTTGCGTGTGCACAAGCGCAGAATACGTTTTCGCTGCGCGTTAAATGTTTAACGGACGGTATAAGCAAAAATTATCTAATTGTCTATTTCAGTTAATGTTGATGATTGCGTTGTCCCTTAATCTTCGAATTGGATCCGGCTTATTATTTTTTGCAGACTGTAAGAGCAATTTTATAAAAGTAAGCTTGAACTTTCGATTATGTCAAATAGAATTTCTGATGCTGGAGCTCCCAAAGGATCTACGAAAACGAAAGTATGTTTCGATGTCCATCAAACAAAAAGTGTAATTTGCTCCAAAAAATGGATAAAGGCATATCCTTTGTTTATCTAACCGTTCCGAAATCTGTTTATCAATTTCACGCTGCTCTGCGCAGGGGGGGGGGGGGAACGTGGCGGCGCGCAATGAACTGGAAGTTGATCTGTCAACACTACCGTTATCTTCATGGCAGATTTTTTATTTTATTCGGCTTATAATTCCTTATTAAATGTAGTATTTCATCTCGAGGTACTTCGTCTTTGATATGATTTAAATCAAATTCCTCGTCATTATAAATATTACGAATACAAATCAAATAGTTTTCTGGTTGCAATTTTCTAATTTCGGATATGCATAATGTATGCTTTACGCATGCGCACATTAATAAAGTAAACAAATAAATATTAAGCTTTTTTTTTTTTTTTTTTTTTTTTTTTTTTTTTTTTTGTAAATTTTGATACCCTTTAGATCATAATTGCTCATTATTTTATAAATTACAGTTTCATATTTTTAATTTTATAATTTCTGCATGCCATCTTACCAGATTTAAACTGATGATCTATAATCCGGAATCACCGAAGTCCCGACGAGTCCGGATTAAAGACTTTTGACTGTATCAGTAAAATCCAAAATTCTCATAAATATGTAAAATATCAGTTTGCTTTATATATTTTATCTTACATGAATATAGTAAAAGTCCAATTATCCAGCATTCAGCTAACCACAAAGATAAAGTAAATAGAATATTTAAACTTTTTTTAATGAAAAATTAGCAAATGAGATTAAGTACACATAGGATTTTAAAACTGTTGCCAAACAGTGTGATTTAGTGCTAGAAATGGAAAATCATAACATAATCAGGAGATCTTGTTTTTGGTTTTGTGTAAACCCAATTAATTTTTGATAAGACAGTTTAGTTTTTCAACAAGTAAATAAATAAATTAACTGCTATTTATCTGTTTCCCATTTGGGGGGGGGAGAAGAAGATACAAAAATTTGGTGTTCATATATTTACAAATTTATCTTGATAACCAAAGAGGGATAATTTCATTCAAACTTCTGCCAGAATGGCTGCCTACAAGTTTGTCGATGGTAGGATATACATCGACTTTTAAGGATGGCAGGATTTCATATTTCATATTTTATTATAAATATTTAAAGCCAACAAAAATGCATGGAATTTCACACATAAGCAAGCATACACAAAAAATGTATTTAAATATTATGAAATTATCTTACCTAGTGATATGGCAAAACTCAACAGCGATATGTTCACTCACTTCCCAGTCAGGAGGAAACATCCTCCCAAACTTTTCTTCAAACTCAATAAGGTGTTTTTTTAACCAGGCATATCGCTTGTCAATTTTGTCCAACCATGCAATCTACAGCAATAATAAACTATATGTGAACAAGAGTAATACAAATAAAACTACTATGCAAATATATTTTTAGTACAGCATTTCCTATAAAATTATATATAGAAAATAACATATCATTGATAATGTTTTATGTAAATTTAATAGCATTCTAACAGTTAGTTATTCTGTAGGATAACATTAGAATAAAATACTTCCTATTAAATCTAAGAAAAGAAACAGATTATTTTAGCAAAGACTGTTATTTATACTTGCTTCAAAAATTCAGCTCATGAGATATAAAACATAATACATACTTACATCTTGTGTTTCTTGAAATAAATGAGTATACTCAGAGAGCTGAACACCAACAAACCATTTTAGCAATTCACGTCTGAAACCAAACAATGAATTCATCAATAAAAATATTTTTTCTACAAGTTCTCAATACAGGATAATTTATAAAGACATACAACTATGTTTATACCATAAGTCTTTCATCTGCTGCACTGCTACAATTAAGAAGTAAATAGAATGACAGCAATTTTGAAATCAACAAGTTAAAATTGGAAAACATTTATGTACATTATAAATACAGCCAAATATCAAATAAATATATTTACTTATAACATTTAAAGATTTTCTCATACTGCTTATTCAACTAAATCACCATTTTTACAAACTGATGTTGAATAAAAACTATAAAGATAGTCATCACTATAATTATACAGAGTGGGACAAATAAAAGTGGCTCAGAGGGCAGAGCTACTCTATTTTCTGGGCTACTTTTATTTGCTTTTTTAACATGACGTGGCTTTAATTCATTGCAGTTAACATCTAATAAACAGTAGTGATATTAGCAGTAGCAAAACAGAAACTATAAAAAATGTAAGATTTCATCATGTTAAGAAAATAGCATACAGGAAGAGATAAGGCTTTAGATAAATGGGTACTTGCATGTTATCACAACTATTCTGCTGAAATTCGGCAATTTTTTATAGGCGAAAAAGAATAATTACAACTGAAAAATTATTTATTATATATATATGTACTATCACATATGTATGTAAAAATATACAATACAAAACAAAATTGTTAAATTTAAGTGGAACCAACTGACCTTTAAATTAATAAATTTTAATTAAACACATTCCCACTTCAAAGATACACTTTGCACTATTTTGAAAAACCTCAAGAAAGTTATTGCCCTTATCTGGAGGTATTTCTGTCACTAAACTAATTAATTGTCATTTGTTATCAAATTGAAGTTGGAAGAATAAGTAGAAATGTGACATTTTATGTTGTTAATTCTCATTTGAATTATTAGCCTAAGGGATGTTAGCGCAGAAGGTCTGTTAGTCTCAAAACAACACTCTACATTGAATCATTTAAATGCAATGTATCACTTTTCAAATTGTTGCCACCAAATATTACCATCCTGTATTATATTTAAAGAAACTAAATAATGAAGAATGTGCATGAACATATGTATGTTTCTCGCACTGTAAAAAAACAACGGTAGCCAGAGTTGTCAAATTTTTAATAACATATAACCCAAACATGGGCCAATGGAAGCCTGAATTTGGAATTGGTTTTCTTGTCTATTTCATATTTTGTAGCCATCAGCAGTAGACACGCTGATTCGTTTGTAGAGAAACTGCCATTTTTGTCAAAGTTTATTATTATATTGCATTTCATTTGTTTTTATACACTAAATATTACATTGCTCTACAATAGCAAAATCTGAATTTGTTTTATACTTCATAAAATATAATTTTATGACTAGACATTAGAAACATTTTGATTTCATATTGATTATAATACATCGTTTTATGACACTTTCAACTGTAAAATTCATGCTGTGTTTTTTTAGATAATTTCTCAGGAACTCTGAACATTCTGAATGATTGATAGTCCAAATTCAAGACATTTGGAGAAAATGCTTCAACAATATTTCAAAAATTTTACGAACTCATCTCTTACACTTTCAAACTGAAGCTTAATTCCATTTTTAAATTGTATAATACTTTTTTATTATGTTTATAAATTATATTTCTATATTTAAATATAAGGAAGTTCATGACACAAATGTCGGGGTTTAGTGAAATCTAAACCCATGAAGCACTTCATTTGCTTTCTCATTGCAATTTTAAATATTGTAAATATTGAACAAATTTCTCTTCCTTTGCTAATACTAATGCTTTCTTCTCAAAAGAATTTTCTCTCACCAAACCTTTTTCTTTCTGAAGGGGAGGGGGTATGTAAAATATAAAAAAAAATTAATAAACTTAACTGAAACAAACTGGCAACATACCTTTAAATTCTTAAATTTTAATTAAACACATCCTTGCTTCAAAGATACACTATACACCATTTTGTGTCACTTTTTGCCTGCAATCTCTCTGCCCTGTAAAACCTTTAGCCCAATCTATGCTCAGGATTAAAACAAAGATTTTCCGGCTATAAATACCATGCCAGTTATTATGTATAACTTTTTCTCGCCTGCTGCTGCTTGAATAAACCATGTCTCTTGCTTTGCCTTTTTTCTTTATTATCTGAAATGTAAACTTTGTGTACAGAAACTGTGGGGCATATTTAGCATTTGTGGCACCAATTTAAGCAAAAATGTATTCCTAAAGAATTTTTCCTGTTCAAGATAAAAATGATGTTTTAATGGTCAAGCCAGTTGTGATTTTCCCTCCAATCATCTGCGCAGCAGTTTTCCTTGACCAGGATTAGAGAGTGAATTGGTTTCCTCTTCCGCAAAAACTACAAAATCATACGTATGTTACATTTTAATTAAAAATTTAGACTGGAAATCAATGAATAAAACTTACGAGGTTCCTCCCGCACTTTTACTCTGATGAAAATTTTGTGGTGAATGCTTTAAGAAAAGATTTAAAGTAATTCTTCCCTTATACCAATTTTGAGGCAAAATACTGTATTTCTGCAGCAATTTTACCACAGTTTCTTCTATGACAGGTAAATTCCATAAATGCATATTTTCAAATTGAGTTTCAAAGGAAAAAAATATAATAATATCACAATGTGTCTATAAAAACTGTTGGAACTTGCTAAACATGAACATGCATGAGAAAACACTAATATTGCTTGTCAATGCTGAAATATTATGAGCATGGTTCCTGGTGAATTATTCTGCACGTGGTTGCTAGAGTTCGGCAACTTCCTTTAAAGTACTGACATGTAAGTACTGAAAATTGAACAAATAAAATATGAGACATCAAAGAACACTTTTATAGCATACCAGGGTTATGGCAAATACAGTACAAAGTCCAAAATCCGGACTGGTCGGGACTTCGGTGATTCCGGATTTGGGATTTTTCTGGATAATAAACCATCAATTTAAATCTAGTAAGATGGCATGCAGAAATTACAATTAAAAATATGAAATCGTAATTTATGAACTAAAGAACAATTATGATCTAAAGGGTATGAAAAATTACAAAAGAAAGCTTAATATTTATTTATTTACTTTATTAAATATTTCTTTCAATGTAAGTTGTTTAAGATGCTTCCACAAAAAATTTACAAAGTTCCTTTTCCTTTTTTCTTGTGTCATATACAGTGGACTTTCCAATGCCATACTCCTCACATAATTTTGAGACGGATATGCTTTTATCCTTTATTATTTTTGCAGCAACTCCACTTTTTGTTTAATGGACATCGAAACATGGTTTCGCTTTGTAGATCCTTTGGCAACTCCAGAATTGGAAACTCTTTTTGATATAAATCGAAAGTTCAAGCTTAGTTTTTATAAAATCGCCGTAATAATAACACAAATAATAATAAGCTGGATCAAATTAGAAGATCAGGGAGCAGCACAGTCTGATAAATTAATTGAAATGGCTTAGACCACTTTTAATACCAGAAGTAATTTCTAACATGTAAATAATTTTTCTATCTTCATCTAGAAGCTCATTCAATCTTTGTTAGCTGCAGCCCCTATTAACAAATCTTCATAATTTTTCTTCCTGTTCTATTTTTTGGTCCATCCCCACCACTTTACTAGAATTTATAACTTATACAGGATCAGAAGACAAAACAAAGGTTGATTTTACAGAATCTGATAATCACTTAATGCAAAACATGAACTAATGAATGCATCAGGAACATTAAATGATGGTGAAATAGGGCATATGAAAATGTAAAAAGTTTTGTTAATGTCCAAAGACAGAAAAAGAAATAATGATTCTTCATGAGATATAATAACTTGTTAATATTTCCTCTTGTCAATACTTTTCTTCTCTTATTATTTTTTTGAGAGACTCCTGTATCAATTTTACACTATCTTTTGTTTTATTCATTTGGGAGTTGCCAATTAACTTTATTACTGATAAAAAAAAAGTTTATACTTTTCTCACATTTATTTTTAAGAATGGAAGCAGTATCATATCATTTTACTTTATGTATTTTATAACCTTCAAACAGAACCATTTATCTTAAATCTAGAAGCATTTACATCTTCCTAAAGAAATGTAAAAAGTAGGTTCCATTCTGGTATTGCTAAATGGTTTAGGTTTTGGGTGCTTGTTGAAGTTGTTTAAGGATTTGCAATCATTTGTCTTAATTATATAAGAAAAATACTAATTTACTTTTCAAAAACATTAGGAAAAATAATTAATAAAAAATACAAGATAACTTTCCTTTTATTATTCAGTCAAGAAAATGTAAAATGCTTGCAATGTCACTATGATTTTTTGATTTTGAAAGTTTCAATGTGCTAAAAACACATGCATATAGAAAAACACAAAGACATTAGTTCTATCGGAAAAAAATAAAAATTGATACTTAAATATTATCTTGTCAACCATGAAATTAGTGCTAAGCAGCACAGTTTAATGCCTATTATATGAATAAGTGTGATATGAGAATATGCTCACAATATTAGCACTCTTGTTAAGATATAAACTTAAATGAATCTCGATAAACTATGCTTTTATGAACAAGAATTTAAATTAACAGTTATTGCTCTATTTTTCCTTGCATGTAAAAATATGACTAAAACTTGGAACCCCCTGCTACAGACCAGGAAGCAGACAATTATTTTCAAAGTTATGGGATTATACCATTAGTACATGATAGGACACACAGCTCAATATAGCCAAAAATAAACAGTAATATGTTGGAATAATTACCTCTGAGAAGTTTGTACTTCTAAGTAAATGTTTGCAGGTGCACAATCTAAACAGAGCTTCTGGTAAAATTTTTAAGGTAAAAATAAAGTAATATAAACTAATGAAAGACATGCAAAAACAAAGCGGGTCAAACACTGTCTATTGAATAAGGAGGTGTCAGTCCCTTCAGAATTCCTCATGAATGATGACTGAAACTTCGGAGGGATCTCCACCAAAGTTCATGGTTTAATGGCAGCCAACTTCACAGTTGATGTAATAATATGTAAGCACCATTAAATTTTCTATGACCAAAAGGGCATAAATTTATTAACATAAAATGCCTATTTTGAGTCATTTTACTTTGGCACAATCTGACACTGGAAGCCTCCAATCACAATACAGTTTTATTTAAAAAAATGGATATTATAGAAGCCCTCCAGACTGAATCACTAATCAACTTATATCTCACCAGCTCATAAAGCGTAAAAGTAAATATAAACAACACAATGTGTAACAATAATACTCGCATGTTCTTTTCTAAGAACATTTTTAATAATAGTTATGACAATGCCATATTTTCAAAACTTCTTTCAAAAAAAAAAAAAAAAAAAAAAAAAAAACTTTTTTCCTATGTATTTTCTCTACATAAATTTTGAAAGATATGATTTGAGGTTATGTTAAGCCATGCTCCATTTTTTTTCATTAATGCTACTCAGCTAAATCCCACATTCTTTTCACATTCCGAGGGTGAACACTCATTGCTGGATCTATAAAAACTGTTGATGATAAAGTCACTTTAACCAGCTTCTTCAAGTAAATCTGTTTTGTAGTCTTCCCAGAAGTATGAATAGATTGCTGATCCATCTTTCACAAATAATTTTCTCTGTAAGTATTCCAGCATCTCTATTTGAGGTTTGAATGACAAAGCACTTGCATCTTTCTGGCAAATTCCTCCAAAAATTCACAATCGTAGGATGTGTTTGCCACTGTTGCTCTTAGGTCATATAAAAAAACTTTCATCAATTATTTTATTATGAACACCTACTCACCCATTGAATCTTTGCATCAAACGTAGGGAATAGACTTCTCGCATGTAATTATTCCAATCAACTGCAGCATTCCTATTAAGCTGTTTGTCACAACATTCGATGGATGTCAACTCCTCCATCCAAGAATACACACCAATGACGAATCATATTCTAGAGCTACTGAACCAATTTCTAACATAGAGGCACTTCTTTCTTTTACAATTTTTAACGTTGCACCTCCAAATGGCTTAGTCGTTAACACACAGTTTCATTTTGTGGCAATGTTTGCAAACTTGCTTGTCAGGTAGAAGAACTCTTTCTTAAAAAATTGATATAACATACACCACTTTATTTAGTAAATTAAAAATTGTTAACCGCATATTAAAAAAAAAAAAAAAAAACTTTCAGATTTTTATATTACACCCAAAGGTGGTTTTATAACGTTTTGTGTGTTACCTTATTAAATATCATGTTCTTCACACTTAAACCATAAATAAAATTCAATTCAACAGCAATATCACAAAATATTTAAAAGACCATAGCTTTAGAATTCCAGATACAGAGTCTCCTTAAAAACGTTTTTTTCCCGTACAGTTTGCCATTCCTCGCTTTGAAATCGTTGAGTTTGTCAATAAAAAGTTCTTTAATGCCTGACAAAATATGAAATAAATAATGAAACAAATTCCAAATTAGGGCTTCCAGATGCCCATATTTGGTGGAGGATTACATTATTCAAAATTTGATGGCTCTAAGTACCGTTGTTTTATCATAATTCGAGAAACACACACATTTATGCACATTTTTCATTATCTGATTTCTTTAAATATAACACAGGTCGATAATATTTGGTGGCAACAACTTGAAAAGTGAAATGGACATTTAAAGTTTTCAACGTAAAATGCCAAAATGAAATTAAGAAATACTAAAAAAAGCCCTTTGGGCTAAAAAAGAAAGAATTGCTCAAATACTCACATTGGAAGAACAAAACTGAATACAATTACAAAACATTTGGTGAGAAAAATAAATCTACAGTTGTTGACTGCATTAAAACAGCTCCTTTCTGCAGATGGGAGCAATAATATTGCAGCAAAGTTGTATCGAATTGTTGTTTTCCAATTCTCTGGCTTTAGAAACTGGATGCTGTTTACTTTGTGTTTAGAAGGAGATCAGGCAGTATTTACTGTACAGCTAATAGACTTTACAATAGCACAACTAACTATTAAAGCTTTGAAGGAAAATGGAGTTCTTCTCAATAACATTTTAGCTACCAGTAGTGTTAATTCTTGGTGTTATAGACACCTTGAGGTGGGACAAATTTGCAGATTAAAGAGTGTACCTGTCACTTTTTAAATTTAGCATCCAAAAGTAAGTGAAGCTTCTTTATTAAAAATATAGTCAAATTAGTTATATTTATTACTTTCTTGAAAGAAGTTTTAAAAGAGAAAAAACAAAAGCTGTATAATATCGAAATAAAAATTTTGAACTATGTATGTTACGTTTTAGTTAGCCAGTTAGCTTCAAAGAAACATTTTTTGTTTTATATATAAAAATGAATAATCAATCAAAAGAGGAAGTAAACACTTTCAAATGCTGGAAATATATTTTTTGATGAAAATAATTAAATAAAATAAATAAAAGCCCAACAAAAATGAGAAATTAAAGGAATAAGAGAAACTCATGAGAAAATATGTTGTAAATCCGGGTGGAAGAATTGAGGTCAAATATTAGGAATCTCCTGCTTAAATTGACAGAGTTGGAACATAACAATTATCAGTATAATGGTAACCAGCTTAAACTGAAATCAATCAGCTAGATGAGAATAATATAATTAGTTATGCTTGCTTATTTAGCATTTAAACAGAGAAATTATTCTATATAGCATGATAATTAACTTCTTCCTCTCCCTCTGCAATTTCATTTACCAAAATACCCAGTTCAGATCCTACTAAATTTTAGAACAAAAATATAGTAAAAGAAAAAGGGATCTTATTTTTAGGAAATACAGAAGTTTTATATTACAATTAATATTAAATATAATGCATTATCTTCTATTTACATATAGATATAAAAACAGTAATAAGCCTATTTGTCTGACAGAATTATGTTTAAAATTTATTAATTTAATTAAAATCATGCAACAATATTACTGTAACTTTTAAAAATAAACTGACATTTTCTCAACTTATCAAATTAAAATTTTTAAAAACTTAAATTATGTAAATACTTCCTAATAAATAGCCAACAAAACAATATATAATTATCAATATGTGTAACTAAATATAATTATTAACAAATGCAAATTAAAATGCTTACTTTACTTTTGGTTCAAGTATTGAAACTACTAAACAAGCTTCTGCTAACTGTTGAAGTGAATTTGCAGTGAAGTGCTAATAAATAAAAATATGCATTATTTTTATATTAAAAGTGAAATTCAATTATGCATTTCAAATTTCAGTAAATTGAGTAAATAACTGTTATTATGTATGCCAGTGATCTCAAACTGGTGGCCAGAGAATACATTCCAATAATGTGTTTATTGCAAACATGGGGCTACAAAAATTTCAAGATTTTAGTTATTTAAGTCCAAGTTTACATTATTTTCATTACTATTAAAAATGAATTTGAATAATGTACCAGGAAATCTATCAATGAAGCTAATTAATTTAGAGTGTGACATAAATCTTAATCAAAGATTTGAAGATATAGACTTTATTTGATTGATATATTTGCACTAAGAATAATTGCTTTGTTTGTGAATACTATGTGCAAATGGATTTTATTCACAGTCGAAAATTAATAAGAAAAGCGATAGACCAGTGAACATCTACAATCTGCAATGGAGATAATATCTAGTAATTTCTCTTCAATGTTACAAACTTTATCAGAATTGAAATGCCATCAAGTGTCCAGCTACAGTAAGAAGTAAAAAAGTATATAATTATTTATATACAAATATTTGTATTTGTAGCTATGCATTAAAGACAAATTTAATAAATAAGAGAAAAAGACTAGATTTCCATCACTTATTCTCAAGTTTTGTCTCACTTGGTAAATTTTCTTTGAAAACTTAGAATGTTTCCATAATTTATTTTTAGTTTATTTTAAAGTAAGTTAGTTAATGATTAATTAAACATGTTAGAATTATTTGAAATAAATGTCAGTCTAAAATTTAATGTTTAGCTATTAATATATTGTATAACTAGAATTATTTGAAATAAATGTCAGTCTGGAATTTAATGTTTAGCTATTAATATAATGTGTAACTAACAAAAATGTCTTGCAGATATCAAACTTTAGAGTTCAGTCAGAAAATAAATACGAGGGCTATCCAGAAAGTAGATTACGTTTTGGAATAAAAAAATAAACAAAGTATAGGAAACAAATTTTATTATATACAGATGAAAGCCACACTCAAATACTACTTTTCTACATAGTCACCATACAAATTAAGGCATTTATCGTAGCGATGTACGAGCTTGGAAATTCCTTCGTCGAAAAATTCGGCCGCCTGCGCCTTCAACCACTTCGTTACCTCTTCTTGCAGCTGTGCGTCGTCATCAAAACGCTGCATAGCCAGCCACTTCTTCATTGCTGGGAATAGGTGGAAGTCGCTCGGTGCCAGGTCGGGACTGTACGGCGGATGAGGAAACAACTCCCACTTAAAAGATTCAAGAACTTTACGAGTGACATTTGCCGTGTGGGGCCGGGCGTTGTCGTGAATCAACAAGATCTTAGAGCTCAACATTCCTCTGCGCTTGTTTTGAATTGCTCTTCTGAGTTTTTGGAGAGTTTGGCAATACCTTTGAGAGTTTATTGTAGTGCCTCTTTCCAGGAAGTCCACCAAAATTACACCTTTTCTGTCCCAAAAAACAGTCGCCATCATCTTCCTTGCCGACATTGTTTGCATGCATTTCTTGGGTTTTTGGGGAGAACTTGTGTGCCCCCACTGCATTGATTGCAATTTCGTTTCACAGTTCACATGTTTCACCCATGTTTCGTCACCAGTAACGATGCGATCGAGTAAAAGAGTCACCATCCTTATGGTAAGCGTCCAAAAAGTTCAACGCTGCAGCCATTCGCTGATTTTTGTGGTCCTCTGTCAAGATTTTTGGAATCCATCTTGCACAAAACTTGTGGTAACCAAGCTTTTCGCTGATGATTTCGTGCAACAAACTTCGCGAAATTTGTGGAAAACTCAAAGAAAGTTCCGTTATTGTGAAATTTCGATTTTCACGGACTTTAGCATCGACTTTTTCGAGAAGTTCGGCGGTCACTATGCTGGGTCTCCCACTTCGATCTTCGTCGTGAACATTGGTTCGGCCATTTTGAAATCTTATGACCCACTGACGCACTCCACCTTCAGTGATAATGTTGTCCCCATACACTTCACGAAGCTGCCGATAGATTTCTATCGGTTTACAGTTTTTTGCAGTCAGAAACCTTATTACTGAGCGCACCTCGCAGCTCGCGGGATTTTCAATTAACGCAGACATTTCAAACCGTCACAGTATCTGAACGGAGCACAGCACGAACCTCTCACTAGCACGGCTAGATGCAGACTGAGCTGCGCAACGCTCTGACCCCAAGATGGCCGCGCTAGCCCCGCCCCTAGCGGACACAGACGGAAACGTAATCTACTTCCTGGATGGCCCTCGTATACTATAAATTTGAATAGTTATCTCCCTTTATCCTATATTATAATTATTTTTTGATAAAATTTAGAAAGTGAAATTCAAAATTAATTTTCAGTATTTTTTATTTCATTAAAAAATATGGCCTGTCAGTTGTTTTTATATTATGCATTCAGCCAGCATGCAATCTGAGTTTGAAACCACTGGTCTATGCTCCGTAATATAATTTGTCAGTACAGCCTTTACTATTTATTTAATACAATTTTCACCTTCAGAAATTAATAAAACACAAATAATATTAAAAGATAAGAATAAACAAGAAAAAAATAAAATATGTTAAAATATCTGATGTAGACACCACAACTTCCTTTATAGCCTATTAAATTACACACTTTTTATAGCATTTCATTTAAATTTATTTCCCCAAATAATTCTAACTTATTAATTAACCGATTTCTCGAGGCAAGTTGAAAATGACATCTAAAGCTGCAAATTTTAAAATTAAATATCCCTGTCAATTTTTGTCAGACGGAAGTTCTTATGTTTATGGAAGACTTCTTATGTTTTTATTTTTTCGTAGCGAATATAAAACTTTCCCAAATACAAGTATAGAAACCGGGAGATTGCATTAAAAGTTGTACTTTGTTATTCATCCAAATTATTATTATTTTTTTTAAATTTTAAATTGCTGAAATAGACTTTCAAGGGAGATATTTATATATAGGTGTGTATGTGTGTGTGTGTAATATACATACTTTTGGTAATGCTGGATTGCAATAGAGATGGGACATGCACAACTAGTGGTTATAGCAGTCACATATACAATATTTCAACATCCTACGGCTAATCACTTTTGAGTTATGAAAGATACATACATACGAACAAACGTCACAAAAAATTGTTTTGAATCCATTCTACAATCTGTTTTGAAATAGCATCCTTCATTTTGTCAATATGTACAAATGTTCCCCCCCCCCAAAAAAAATAGTAAAAATGGGTTTAGAAATAGTCAAAATGGAACTTCCATAGAAACCTTTTAATGCAATAACAGAAAATTTTCATGATAACAATACTTCCTATACCTCGTACAAGGAAGTAAAAATAACAATTTTTATCACAATTAAAATATATTGTTACGTTTTTCTCTTCCTGACACCAGTTGTTACGTTATTTTCTTCCTTCACATTCGTAGATTTGGAGTGAATAATGACGACACTTGATGAAGTATCGAAACACACTTTATTTAGCCAATATTAATCAGGAGAGCTCCAATAACACTTTTTACAGTCATCAAAAATCTACTATAAGCACGCTGGAACAATCAGTGACACAGCCTTCATACTGTCAGGCAATAACGGTGGAGATAGCTTCATTGCAAAGCACCAGAGTACAGCTTCCGACTCTGTTTGGTCGTTCTTGGAACTTCACATACTCTCGAGACTCTCCACGCGATACACTCGACGATACACAAGAGTATAGCTCTCGACTCAGCACAGTCTAAGACATAACTCGACGATGCACTAAAAGACTCTCTCGATGCACTCGACGACCAACTCGGCGCTAGACTTTGAGACACTCGCTCAATGACTGACTATCAGCTCCTAGACGAAGCACACACACTGACTGCGGACCAGCACGGTTTATATAGGTTTCGGCTTGTGTTTGAGAACATTCTGGGCTAAACCGGTAAGAATTTGTTCCAGAAATTTTTCCATCCGGCCATGGTATATCGCCAATTTCGTCGCCAAATGGGCGATTTCTCACCAAATGTGGCAACCCCGCTTTCTGTTGCCATTTTATGGCAACCCTAAAATTGCTTTGCGGGTTAGCCATCTTACGGTGCCTGTACATTTCATAACAATATTATAGTTTTTTTCCTTGCATATAAAGTCTTTTCTCAATAAAACACCAAGGATGTATTTTTGTATCTACCAGCACGATTAGAATAAGAATAAATTAATCACTTGTATCAAAATGACAAGCCCTGTCCTCGTGAACCTTCTCTGTGAAATTTAATCTTGACAATTAAACACATTTCTGAAGTGTTGTAAGAAGTTAATACTAATTACAATCCAACTAAGAATCTGGAAAGAAAATAGAAATACACAATGCTGTGGTTCAACTGAAGCTATACTACTAAAAATTCAAATTATTTAAATAATCATATTTGGGAGTGGTTTCTGGCAATCTGCGTAACAAATATATTCAAATGAAGTTTGCAAATAATTTTGTATGTATAGTTGTGACAAAATTATATATTGTAACCATTTATTCACCATAAAACATTTTAACAATAAAATATGGAAGAAGTGCTGCAAAATAATCCAGTGTATCAACATTAAATTATGATATCATTTATATAAGAACAGCAAAATAAATAAAAAATTTACTATAGGAGCTATAAAAATATACAATATAGGAACTCCATATGAATGAACTAAAATTATAAACATTGAATTTTCTGATGAATAAATAAGGATATACATTTACAAGGTTGTTCAATAAGTTCACGGAGCGCCATCTATCCGTCAATATTAGACTTAAAACTTCGACGCCATTTTCATATTTGTTCTTTCTTAGGAGCATGTCAAAAGTTTCATTTTGATCTGTTAATTTATTCATTGTTTAACCACCCTTTATATCTAACGTGTTGTGGCTTTTTTCAGGTATGGATAAAATTGAGCAATGTTCAGTTATCAAATTCTTTGTAAAGAAAGGTTTAAAGGCAATGGAAATTCATACCGAAATGATGAATG